CCCAGGTGGGGGAGGGCTAAGGAATGCTTTTCGCCTCGCCTAACTCTTGGCCCCTGCGGCCCCTGCGTGGCTTTGGGTGTTTGCTTTCTTGGGTTGCTGAAGACAGTGGCCGCGTGTGAGCATAGGAACGGCCGGGCCGGCTTCTGCCGCCCGTGGGGACTGGTCTCAGCCCAGCCTCCCACCCGTTCCTGTCTTTTTGCCTCTGTGTGATGCCTGAGTCCGCTTGGCCCGCGCGACGGCAGAGTGGATCCGTGGTTAGCAGTTCTCCAGCCGTCTCTGGGTGGAAAAGTCCGCTCTTGGCAGGACCTGCTCACAGGCTCTGCAAGCATGCACCCTCTCAGCTGGAACATGCAACGGCCTTCAGACATGTCGCTTATGATCCGCTTCTGCCGTTCAGTCCTTCCGCAGCTCTTCCTTTCGCCTGCTCTCTGACTGACAAAGCCACTCAATGAAAATGATACATGATTGGCACCCCAGATCTCAGACTCTAGGGTTCTGCCCCCCATCTCCTCTCCCCCCAACCCCAGCTATTACAGTGAAGACCTTTCTCATCCATGGGAACATTTCCACACTCAGAATAAGTGTAGAGAACTTCAAAGAAGACCCAGCTGAACCTCGTTGATTTTCACAGGTGTCCCTTTAAGTTTGAAATGCACGCATAAATTGTTCTCATGGAAATTGGTGGGAGAAGTGATTCATTTTGGCCAAATCACCCATTTTTATTAAATAGGAGGCTCAGTTCTTCTGGATTGTTCTGTTCTTGGCAGAATAAGTATCAGGCTGATGTCATAACTGAGCAGTGCTCAGGGATATGTCTGATTCCACGTTCAATACAAGCAAACACACAGACAATTCCCACAGGTACACAGTGGAGCCTCAGGTAGATCAGCCGCCCACCCCCTCTCGTCACACGTTGACCAGCAATGGGGGGGGGAAGGTGAGGCCTCCCCTGGATCTGGAAATGGCCCCGTTGGTGGCTGGGAGGCCCTTTGGGCTTCTCCTCTTGCCTGGCTGTGGGGCATCCAGTTCTCTCCCTGTTGCTGCAGGAGACAAGGCAGGCGCTGCGAGAGCAGCACAGACAGTGCTTCCCTACGGGGTGGGGGGGATTTCAGCCCACAAAGCGTGTTGCCATTTCTCCCTTCTCCACCGTAGCAGCCACTCTTGGAACTCCTTCGGACCCCTTTCGGGCTCCGGCTCAGAGAGGGGCCAAGCAGCCGGGGGCCGTTTGAGACCTGGCTTTGCATCCAAGCTTAAGAGACGTGGCTCTCCCAAATGACCCCTCCTCCCCTGCAAAGGGAGTCAATTGCTCTGCTGCACGTCCAGCCTGGCGTCACTGAAGAGGGGAAAGATCCAGTCGGAGCAAAAGCATTTACACTCTGTTAGATTACAACAGACTGGAAAATCTGGACTGGCTGAGTATTGTGTTAAATATGGTCATGGGGTCCAAGTATTGGCCAATACCAGGCGATTTTGGGACAGAATTGTTATGGAGGCTCTCTTGGTAAGCCTTGAGCTGCCTTCCATCAACAGAGAGTGGCGTTACTTCTGGTGCTTGCTGGAAGCCTTCGTTTTGCAAATGAGACTTGGCAGGTTGCCTTTATAAAATGCTGGCCACTGCAGTGGGGGGGGGGGCGGTGGTTGGCTCTTTCATGTTCATCTGCCTGGTTTCGATAGTATCGCAGTCTTCTTTCAAGGACAGCTGCCAGGTGAAGGGATTCACCCCCTGCACCATCATCTGCTAAGAGTCTTATTCAGAGTACCAGGACGGGAATGGTACAGAGAGTCTCCTCCGTGAGGCAGGTCGCCAGACAGGCTCCTCCAAAGAAAAATGCATGGAACTCAAGGCTTGGCTTTGCCCACAACAAAAGTTTTTTGTTTTTGTATTCTCAAGGCTTTCACAGCTGGGATCCAATGGTGGTTGTAGGTTTTTCCGGCTATTTTCATTTTTATTTTTTGTAATGTAACGCCCTCAAGGTTGCATAAGGTTAACTCCAGTCATTAAGAGTCATTGATGATCCCTGGGCCTTTCTGTTTTGCCCTCTTTAGTTCTTGATGACCACAGAGTAAGTGCTTTTGAAATATCTCCCAGAATCAGGAGAGCTGGTGCTACCAAGCCACGCTGCCCTTCTACCCTCGGCTCCTGCCCGGACCCAGCCATTAAGGGCTTCTCCGTCTGCCGGTTACCCCTTGCCTGGGCCAATGAACGACCAACCGCACAGGCCCACTTCCACCAGAGCAGGAGGGAGAGGGGTCTGGGGACTTGGCTACAGGCTGTTGAGGCTCTCCCCGGCAGCTGAAAGCTTTGCTTCTTCCTCCTTTCTGATGGCTCAGACTTTCCTGCACTGTCATTCAGAGCAGGATTTGGCAGCCTCCATGTCCACAGCGCGGCTGCCAAAATATGCACGGCTTTTCAAGAGTTGCGTGAAGGTGCATGTGTTGTGTTTTCCAGGGCTCCTATTCGAGAAATGGCTCCTTTCTCTTGACCTGCTGCAGCTGCTCATAATGCTGGCAAGCTGACCGAAGCAGGCAGACCCTCAACGTGGGGAGAGAGAAGGGCTTCTTGGAGGCCAAGGAGAGGGCTCAGCTGGGACTTTTCTCTTGGCTCCTGTCTGGACAGATCAGGCTTGATGGATGCTCCTGCTAGTTTTGTGAAGATTTCACACAAATCGGCTGCTTTCGCTCTTTGTCCGCTTCCGTCCAGACCATTGGTCTTTTAAACCGCATGTCTCCCTTTAGCCTTCTGTCTTGGCACTAAGAAACTTCAGACATCTTTATACACTTCTTTCCCTTCGGAAAATAGTTTATTGCCTATAAAGCCAGGTTGGTAGGTGTCGGACGGAGCCTCCCATGCCACTCTGACCCCCTTGGCCATCTCTTCGCCCCCCCCGCTTCTAAGGTCATTGCTTCTGTTCCCTGGTTTCATTCTTCCCGCTTGGCCTCAGATGCCTTTGATTCATAACCAGTTTATCCAGACCCACAAACGGCAAGAGCGCCGGGGTGCCTGGCTTGTCCTCCAGCTTGTTCATCCCTGCAGATGGCGTTCCATCGAAGCTGCCTGCGAAAGTGTTCGGTTCTGTATCAGCCCTGGGAAACGCAAGCCCCCTCCCATCTGGAGCTCTTGCCACCTGAAGACCCTTCCCCCTGCCCTGCATGCATCTCTGGTCAGAATTAGCCCCCTGGGGAAGAGTCGGTGCAAGGGGCCATTGGGTAGCTGCGCAGAGCTTCCTTTGGTGAGGGTTGGCAGGGCCCCTCGAGCAAACGGAGGATCAGGGAAGGGAAGGCACAGAGAAGCAGGCCGTCCTTATTGCCCGGAGGACCCAGGGGGGTAAAGCACACTTGGCAAAAGCCAGCCGACCGCTGTGGGCAGCATTGTCGTGTTGCCCAAGGGCAGAGTGGGAAGGAAAGAGCGCGCCCGTCCTGTCCCCCCCCCTTCCCAGTGCTTCCCCTGCCCAGTCAAAGAGGGGCTTTTGCGGTGGGACTGGCTTGGACGTTGCTGGCATAGAAGAGGAGGAGGAGAGGCTGCGCCTGGAGAGAACGTGTGAGGGTTTGCTGCGTGTGGGTGGCCTTGTCGGCCCCTGGGGAGGGTCTTTCCCCCCCAACCCGATCCCCAGTCCTAGTTCCTCTGGGACAGTCGAGGAAAGGACTCCGCCATCCCAGCCGGCGGCTTTGCTTACGGCTGCCGAGGTTTAAAACCCAGAATGGTTCCCCAGAACGGAAGAATGAAGTGGAGGATCCAGTCTCAACCCACCCACCCACGGCCCCATGCTTTCACACACAAAGAGAGCAAGAGAGGAACCCGCAGTATCTCAAGGGATACTTTCTGCATTGTATTCGTGAAGGCTTTCCCAGCCGGGATCTAATGGCTGTTGTGGGTTTTTCGGGCTCTTTGGCCGTGTTCTGAAGGTTATTCTTCCTAACGTTTCGCCAGTCTCTGTGGCAGAATCCAGAGCACAGCATGCCACTCCAGTCCCCTGAAGATGCCCATGTCCACAGAGACTGGCAAAACATTAGGAAGAACCTCCAGAACGCGGCCAAAAAGCCCAAAAAACCCACAACAACCACTTTCTGCATTACTTGAAAGAAGGAAGCATACTGTTGGACAGACACATACTGCAGAGACCCGTTTGACCTCCGTGATGGCCGAGCGCTGGTCTTGGGTGGCAGGTGTACTTAGCCAAGACAGATTTCCCTGCTGGACCTCCTCGTATCTCCTCCAAGGGAGCTCGATCTGTCCACAGGAGGGAAGTTATGGGATGTTCAATGGATCAAGGTCAAACCCTATGTGAAGGCAAATCCAACATTATCCCTCCAGGCCAGCAAATATTTTTGAGTGGCCTGCCTGAGCACCGTCACACTTCTGTCCATTGACAAAAGAGAAGCAGGCTGACGTAGGCAGGCCTCCCGAGGCACCTTTCCTTTCAGATTAAGACGGTTATTCTCCGGCTCGAATCTCAGCGGAGAGCTTGAGAGCTTTATGATGTTGGCTCTCCCTCTTGGAGCTGGCTGCCTTGGGGTTTGGGGAACAGCAGCCACACCCACAGTAATTCTGCTTTCCCCCATAGGCTCTTTCTATATGTGTGTGTGTGTGTGTGTGTGTGTGTGTGTGTGTTTGGTGCATCTGGACCATTCTCACCTCTGGTTTTTGGGCTCTCTCGCTCTCCCTCTCTCTCTCCACAGACTTTTCAGTAGTTTAGGAGAACTGAGCACCATTTCCCAGCGCAGCTCCGGCACCACCTACACCGTGCGTCCTGGCAGCCGCTACCCTGTCACCCGACGCACTCCTAGCCCGGTCAAGCCCGCTCTGGACAGGACAGACCCGCTCAGCAGCGTCCGGCCCTACGGGCTCACCCCGCCCACCATCCTCAAATCTTCCAGCCTCTCCATCCCACATGAACCCAAGGAAGTGCGCTTTGTGGTGAGGAGCGTGAGCGCCCGGAGCCGCTCCCCATCGCCCTCGCCGTCCCCCACCGCCGCCCTGCATACCCTCCACCCGCCTCGGCCCTTCCTGCAGAAGCCACTACACCTGTGGAACAAGTACGATGTGGGGGACTGGCTGGAGAGCATCCACCTGGTGGAGCACCGGGACAAATTTGAGGACAACGAGATTGAGGGCACCCACCTGCCGGCCCTGACCAAGGAGGATTTTGTGGAGCTGGGGGTGACGCGGGTCGGGCACCGCATGAACATTGAGCGGGCACTCAAACAGATGGTAGACAGCTGACCACCCCAGGCAGCGCCAGCCTCTGGGGAAGGGGCTGCGGGGGGGCTGTTTCTACTAGACGTAAGCCGGAACCCACTGGACACGCTTTCAATTCTACTCTGACCACTGCACTGAAGGGGGGGGAGAGAGAGCTGACAAGCATCTGCTGGGTCAGTCTCTCTCTCTCTCTCTCTCTCTTTCTCTCTCAATATCTCCTCCCCGACTCTCTCGCATGCATGCATCCTTCCTTTGCCTGGAGAAGAGGAAGGGTGTGTGACGACTCATTCCCCCATATGTTTGTCCAGGGGAGTCTGGCCTGCACAATTCTGGATGTGCCCTTGCCCAAGAGAGTCACTGCAGGACAGGTGGTTCTGGGGAAGGGAGAGGGGGCCCAGATTTTGAGGACACCACTTGTGTGGGATACCCATAAGGAGTGCACGGAGCGGTGGAGGGGGAGGAGGGTGTTATGAGAAGAGGCAGAGGAAGCACCGGGGAGGAGATGGCGCAGCTCAGTTGTGCTGGGTCTGAGCTGCATTGCGGCTCGTATCTGCATCAGTTTATCCGGAGACAAAGTAGTGGCTTAAGGATCTCTTTGGAAAGGGGAGGCGTCCCGATGTAGGCAGGATGCAGCCTGCTGGGGAGTGACAGAAATGGCTAAGGAGACCTCTGGAACTCCCACCAGGCAGCACCTTCTGAGGGAGGCTGCAGGTCGGGGGGAGTCCTTGTGGCTCAGGGGTTAAACTGCAACGCTGCAGTGAAAACTCTGCTCACAACCGCTTTTGATCCCAGCGGATTCAGGTAGCCGGCTTAAGGTTCACTCAACCTTCCATGCTTCTGAGGTCTGTAAAAGGGGGGGGGGGCAAAGTGTAGCCTGCATAATTAACTTGTAAACTCCCGAGACAGTTCTTGAAGTGCTATGGGGTGGGGTATAAGCAGCACCCTTTGCTTTCCTGGGAGATGTGCATGGGCCAGCGCACTGCAGCCGGCGGTCCTGTGGGTGAAAACAGGCAAGGAGACCGTAGCCGGAGGCAAGGCGGCCAGCCGGCCTCCCTCTCCCTGACATGCAGGCGTCCCGGTTTCTCCCAGGAAGGATCACCTTGTGGGCGAGGAGATGAACCTGCCCCACCCCGGGCCCAGGGAGGCACAACAGAGAGAGAGAGAGAGAGAGAGAGAGGGAAACCACACACACACACACACAGACACACACGCAGGGGTACTCGTACTGAGAAGGCCCTGCCTTTCGAAGGACTGTCTTCTTTTGCCCCCACCATGAGAGGGGACCAAAGTCGCATGGATAGAAGAAGCATGTTTGGGGGCCATACCGGGGGGGGGAGCAGAAGTGGGGAATCTGGCAGCTTCTGCTTTGCCCGCGTTCATGGGGGGGGGAGGTCTCATTTTTTTCTTGGGGGGGCGGGGGATGCATCGAAGGAGTCTCTCTAATCTCTGTGCGTTTCTGTGGATTTGGTGATCCAGCCAGAGGGATGCCAGGGCCAGGATCCTGCCCACTCTGTCCTAGTCACTCATTTTGCATCTTTTTAATCAACTATATATTTGGAAAGAAAAAAAGAACAAATATCTATATATCTATATATCTATATCGCCACCTTGTTTTGTTGTGGTTTCAGAAAGCGGTCTCTCACTCAGAGGGGGGGAGGGAGGCCTGCTGTTTCTCCCAGCAATTCCCCCCACTTGGGGGGGGGAAGTTTTAGGGACCTAATGAATGAATGAACGAAGGCGTGGGGTGGGGGCAGGCGGGAGGAGCATCTTTTTCAGTCTCTTGCAGATATCCTGAATTTGACGGTGGGGTGGGGGACCAAAATCTCAATCTGGCACTTGGTTGGGGGACATACCTGGTCTTCCATGTTTTTCTGGGCAGTGAGTGCTACAGGACAGGCCCTGGCCAGAGGGAGCTGCCTGCACCCCCACTTGCCTCAGCCCCGTCTCTCGCCACCCCCACCACCCCCCGTGGGGCCAGAGTAGGGGCCAAGGGAGGCAAGCGGAGCCCTCCTCCTCTCCTGCAGGTTCTGGATGCGACGTGAGGCCAGCCCCGAGCGAGCAGAGCAGGGAAGGTGGCTAGGATGGCTGGGAAAGGGCCAGGCCTGGAGCGAGAGGGAGGGAGGGGAGGAAGAAGAGCAGCAGCCCAAGGACGTGGGAGGGTTGGTGGTCCAGGGAGGGCCTCGTGGCTGGGGGAGAGGGGAGGCATTTCAAGGACGGCATCCCCCATACAATATCTGGTTCTGAAGATCCCCCACCAGCACCTGCCAAATGGTGTGGCTGGGAGGTGGATGTGGGGATGGGGGCAGGTCTTGGTTGGCCCTTCAGCCCCTCCCATCTTGGACCTACAGCTGTGGTCTAGCAGGAATGTTCGCACTTGAGCCATAGGCAGCATCTCCGGGGGGGGGGGGTGAGCCACTGTTGAGAGCATGCCCACCCCACCCGGTGGGCGCAGGGGGAGTCCCACCGCGGGGTCCCAGTCGGCGCATTTCCTGTCCTGCTGTCCCTACGAGGACCCAGGAGGAGGCGGCTGTGGGACTGGGTGGAGCACCGAGGGGGACACTTCGAAAGGATGGGGCCAGGAAAAGCATTTCTCCCCCCCTCCTCCCCACTCGAGAAGCTTCTCTCGGCTTCAGCGCTTGGAGGCCCAGCTCAGGTGTCCTCGGGACTGGCCGCGCGGGCCCCCTTTCCGGCCTGTGACACCCCGCTTCTGCTCGCCTGTCCAGCCCCTGCGAGACCAGTTGGACATCTGCCCTCCGCCCCAGGCGGGTGTCAGGCAGTGGGAAGCTTCAGCCCCCCCCCAAGTCCTTTTCCTTCGAAAAGGCGTAAATTCTTTCTGGTGCTAGAGGGAAGGAAGAGGGAAATCCTCGCCGACCCTCACCCTCTCTCAACCTTCCCAAGCTTATCCCAGTGGCTGGCCGTGGGGTGGCCATTCGCATGGAAAATGCACAAAAAGGGGGCAGCCTGCCCTCCGCCCCACCCCCACCTGTCCTCCCCATGAGAAGCTTCTGGAGGGGTGAAGAGGAGGAGGAGGAGGAAGGGGCTCTGCTGAGTGAGTCTCTTCCCCGTAGGCAGCCCTGAGCGGGTTGGGGTGAGGTGGCTTCACTTTCCGGCTTCGAGGCAGGAGGAGGGCTCGTCTGGGATGGGTGCTGAGCCCTGCCCCCCCCCGCAGGGCTTGTGGCCACTGGGGCTGGGATGCGGGGAGACACCGGGATCCATGGGGTTGAGCAACAGGCCACCCACCCACCCACTCATGCATTTCCATCAAAACCTTCACAATAACAGGACTTTCAGAGAACAGAACAGGATGGTTTGCGCTCCAGTTCCTTGTTTTCAGATTTTCTTTGTCAACCAAAGAATTCCAACCAACCCATGTAGGAAAACCACCGTTTTTTCTGATTTCTCAGACTTTAGCATATGTTTGCCCAGTCACGTTTTAGACCGCGTTTGTAAGGAGCGAGAGTGGATCTGTAATGACTGGATTTAATCATTTGAAGACGATTCAGACCCTGCCACCCCCTTACAAGACCCACACGGTAGACACTGTAAACCCTAGAGGGGTCTTCCCCAATCTGATGTGCTCTGGGCCTGTTGGATTACAAATCCCATCATTCCAAGGCAGCACAAAAGTTTGGAAGGCTGCCCTAGGCCGTGGCCCTCCCAGAGCTGAGAATCGTATTGGATTTCACATGTATCTTGGATTAGCTCCTTTTTTTTTGCAGCTGATGACCGCTAATTGGTGAGCTGCTAAGGCATGTTTCAGTCTCCTCCCAAATCATCAATTGTGCTCTGTAATGTCATGCTGATGACTGAACCTTCACAGGACCATTTTGTGCCTGTTGACTCTGATGAAAATCCCACTGAGTTCACTAGGGCTTAAGTGCGTTTGGGATTGCAGCCTTCCTCTGGTAGTGCTTTCCCATTTCAGGTAGCAGGTGTGCATCTACTCTAGTGTTGGCAATGGCTTGTCCCTAGGCAGCACCCCAAGGACCCCATCCTGCCCGGGTGTGTGTTGCTTCTTGCCCATCAGCAAGCCAGGGCTGCAGTTGCTGCCCTCTGACCTGCAGGGTGACCCCCTTCCTGCCCTTCACGGCCTGGAGGCCGGCCACTTCATCGACAGCCAACCGCAAGCTTTGTGAGCCCAAGCTGAATCCGCTTTGCCGCCCTCTCCTGCCCCAATGCGGCCCGACTGGCCTTCCTCACATGGGCAGAGAAGGTGCTGCTCTGTTGGTCGCTGACCACGCTTACACCTCTCTCTATGGAGGCTCACGGTCCTGCAGCCCCTGTCCCTGGGGAGGGGGGGTGGAATTTACTGTCTGTAAGACTGGTTGGTGCCTTGCTGACCTGCTATCCGCCTCGGCGCAGGCTCCTCTGGGCGCCTCTTCCCCCCCCCCTTTGCTGCTACGGGCTCTGTGTCTCTGTGTCCCTTCTGCAGCTGTTTCTGGGACAATCGGAGGAGACCCGCCTGCCTGCATCAGCCTCCTCTTGCTGGAGGCGTGAAGACTGCAGACCCTGTAACATGTCTGCAGGAAGTTCACTTCAGGACTGGGAAAGCTGGATGCCTTCTTCCTTCCTTCCTTCCTTCCTTCCCTCCCTCC